TCATCTGTTCTAGGTTTTGTCCCTCTCTTCTTCTTGTTTTCCTCTCTATGTTTTGTACTCAGCTGACTTTTCATGCTGTCTCTAAACGAATGAAATACTTTTTCCAAGCACTAAGCTCACTTAGCTGATTGCTCCTTCCTGTGTTTCCAAAAAGGCCAAAGTAAATAACCCAGTCCTTCTTTTCACTGTAGACAAGCCATGATCTGCTTCTCTGTTCTCCATTTTTCATTTGGATGAAATAATAGCTGCATGAATCATGACAGCAGACAAGATAGAGGAGAGCAGGAGGCGGGGTTACCAATCTACTTGCTCTGGAGAGCAGAGTTCGCTGCTTTTAGATGTTGTCTCCAAAGTCTCCACTAGCAGAAAAAATTTGGTAGATTTGGTGCTAGGCACTTTTTTTTTAAATAAAAGTGCTAGAGGGGTCTGAAAAGTGGCTAAAAATAGCAACAAAAGCGCAAAGTTAGCAACACTGCTCTTTGCATCATTTGTTTTCACATGGTTTGCTGCTGTCTGTTTGGAACTTTCTGAACATGTGCAGCAAATGGACTGATCCAATATGGTGGACACTGAAGGGGGGGGGGGGGTTGAGACACACGTATTACCGTATTTTCACGACTATAAGGCGCACATAAACGTCTTTTTTTTCCCTCAAAATGTGCGGTGCGCCCTTTGGTGCGGTGCGCCTTATGTGTGTTGTAACTGCGACTTTTGAGACCACCTCATTGAGGAGATGATGAAAGAGTGGCTGAATGTAAGGAGACCAGGTGTTTTTTTTCCACTCATCACCATCGCTGTTAATATGTAACTCCATGCGTGCCCATCTCACAGCTGATGTGAAAAACATGGGGAAACAAATTAACGCTGTGCTCGCTGTTCAACCGCTCGACATCGGTGTGAACCGGACCCAGCAGGTGCAGCAGAAGCAGCGAGTTTACATGCAAAGTCAATGGTTGACGCGCGTATAGGTGCAGCAAAAGGTCCCGCAGCGCGTTTTGAGCAGCACGCGCAGCGCGTCGGGAGCGTTTAAGCATCTGACCCGCCGCCAACGCGCTGCTGCTGCTCGAGATGGAAAAATTGAAGTTTTGCTGCTGGACGCGCCGCATCAACCAATCAGAGAAGCTGATCTGGGAGCTGACAGCGAGACAGACACAGCGCTCTGATGACATATGATATTAACGCAAATGAAAAGGCTGGATGGATGAGGAGATGATGAAAGCGTGGCTGAGGCAGGTGTATGTGAGGAGACCAGGTGGTTTTTTCCACGCATCACCATCGCTGTTAATCTGTGACTCCATGCGTGCCCATCTCACAGCTGATGTGAAAAACATGGTGAATCAAATGAACGCTGTGCTCGCCGTTATCCCGGGGGGTCTGACAAAGGAACTTCAACCGCTCGACATCGGTGTGAAGCGGCCGTTCAAAGTAAGGCTGCGAGCGGCGTGGGAGCGAAGGATGACAGACGGAGACCACAGTTTCAGGATAAGTGGAAGGCAGCGCCGGGCAAGTTACGCCACCGTTTGCGGATGGATTGTAGATGCTTGGACTAACGTGTCTGCTGGCTCTGTTGTTCAAACTTTTGCAAAAGCCGGCATTATTTCTGAGGAGCTGCGCTGCACGGAAAGTGACTCTGACAGCGAAGAAGAAGGGGAAATTGGCATGTCTGATTTAGCGCAGCTGTTTAATTCAGAAACAGAGGATGATGACTTTGATGGGTTTGATTAATACTTTGTAATAAATACATGAATAAAGCACAAACATACTCAGTTTTGCTCCCGCTCTATTTTTCTACCTGAAAACTTAATTCAACAGCAGCCTCTGGGCGGGTCTCCTCCTCTTCACCGCGGTGGCTGGCAGGTGTTTTTTCATCTAAATAATCTAAATCTTGCAGCTATATTTGCTGAGATCAGTGGGAAAAAAGTAGTTTTAATATGTTTTTAAGTGAGAAAGTCCACCTGAAAACTTAATAATTGCAGTCAGTTCATCCAGATTATCTATTTCTGTCGGAGGCGCTCAGACCCCCACATACCAGCGGTGCGCCAACAGTAGAATCCCTTCATCAGCAGCCTCTAGGCTGGGCAGCCTCCGGGTTCACCGCGGTGGCTGGCAGGTGTTTTTCATCTAAATAATTTAAACTGCAGGCACCAGGATACCGGTAATAAAAGCGAACATATTCTGTCGGCAGGTTTCAGGATTTTAAGTTAATTTAGGAGTGATGACAGTGCTCTGTCATCTGCGATGTGTCTGTCTCACGGCCAGCTCCCAGGTTTGATTAATACTTTGTAATAAATACATGAATAAAGCAGTCATACTCAGTTTTGCCCCCGCTGTACTTTTAAATACGCAGTAGAGGTATTTAAAGGTAGTAGAGGACATGTACCTGTATATAAAAAACGCGCCCTATAGTCCGGTGCGCCTTATGTGTGTGTTAAATACAGAAATGGGACACATAACTGAGACTGCGCCTTTTAGTACGCTGCGCCTTATGGTCGTGAAAATACGGTATAAGCGTTTTGATGGCATTTTAGAGAAAGGATTTTTATCAAAAACATAATTAATGTAATTGACCATAAATGTAAACAGAGCTTTATGGGGCACCCAGGAACTTGAGGCCCTAGACTAGGGCTGGGCGATAATTCAATAACGATATATATCGATCGATAGACGTGTGGCGCAATAGAAAAAAAGAGGGTCGATAAAAGTTCGAAAAAAAAGAAACGCAGTTTTCCTTCCTTCTCATTGTAGCCTAGCATGTAGGTTTATGCTAGTCACTACTTCCTCCCAACCAATCACAATCACGGACCCAGGCATGCCGTCACCAAGCGCCGCCCTCTCAAACCACAACACAGAGCACATGAAGATGTCGCAGCAAGGAGAGGCAGAGGAAATTGTTTCAAAGAAGGGTTTTTATAGTTCGGCAGTCTGGCAGTATTTCGGTCATGGCAAGTCGGACCAAAAACAAACCACAGTCATCTGGAAAATGTGTCGGGAACCAGTGAAAACGAAGTCTGATAACACAACCAACTTTTTTTTTTTTTTAATCATCTCAGCCGCTCACACCCGCAGGAGTACGAGCTGTGTAGGCCCCGGCGCGGCTCTCCTCCGAGGAATCTTAGGGAATTTCGGGAAAATATATATATATTTTCAGTTCTGGGCAGTTTCCCACGTAGTTCTAACAATTGAGAGAAAAATGCTGAGGGCCCAGAAACTTCAAAGTAATAACTCAGGTTAAAGCAGGAAACGGGGGCGGCGGTGGGGGGGCATTTATTTATTTGTTATATTTATTTTGGTCACTTTTCTGGTCACTTTAGTTTATTCTTTGTCAGTATTTAATAACATAACCCAGGTCTCTTAAGTTATTTTTCTTTAAAACAATTATGTTATGGTTAAAAAAGTTGGTTAAATAAAGATTTAATTCGAAGTCTGTGTTTGTGTTTTTTATTAAAATTAAATCATTTAGCAATATTATAACAAGTCCAGGCAGAGCTGCACATAAAATATGGTTTCAAATCTTTTCAATAATTATCGATATCGATCAATATGCATTTTTTTTTTTATAAGCTTTTTTTCTATATCGCCCAGCCCTACTCTAGACAACTGCCTAGTTTTGCCTAATGGTAAATCTACCCCTGGACACATACTTTAAATCAGCACAAAAAGTCGATAAATTACAAATCTAGCATTAGACATTAATCTATTTTGAAACTTAACTCTTGCCATAAAAAGGTGCCTTAAAGATTTGATAAAAATTCAAACCAGGGAAGCTTAAAATATGCTACTTAAGGAGTTCTGGATAAAGCATATTCACAAACTAAAAAGGTTTTTCATCTTAAAAATAACATCTAAATGTTTATTTTTTTCATTTATGCAGAACTATAAAACTATTACTCCAGGCTATTTGAATGTGTTAAAAGTCTGTATATTCCAGTTAACAATCGATTATTAAAATACTGGATGAGGATTTCCGGTATTAGATCTATCACGATTCATTTGATTAATTGTTCCAGCCATAGTTAAGATTTGTGAAAAATTAAATAATTCTACATCTTATATGACTATATTGGAGATTGAGGAAATTAATGATCCGATTGTTTAGACTAAACTGTTGATTTAGATTATTTGGAAAAGAGCCTGAATAATTTTTAATCACAAACTGTGATGGTTGTGATCATAAGATAAAAACAACCACCTGTACTGTGACAGTGGGGAAATTTGGGTGTGACAGTGGCAAAAAGTCCAAAAACCCTAAACATTAAATAACAGGCATTTAAGTTATAGAGGAGAAAAATACTATGCAGTTATTAAAAACCAATTAATAAAACTTAAAAAGTTAAGACTTGAGTTGCAGCCCTATAGTTTTTGGTTTTCCATGGATTGCTGCAACTAGCACGTGACGGAATCACATGATCTATCATCCATCTGTCACCTGCTCTACTTCTGCTAGCGACCAGCGATGGTAATCACTATTAGGTACAATAAAAACCCTACATAAAATATAACAACGGTTGATTAATTAAATCTGTACTATTGAAGAAAAAAGAAAAAAAGAAAAACCATCACAGCACTTAGCTAAAACAGTAAGCACTAAGCTTCATTCATCTCAAAGCTTTCTACAGTGCATCTCTGTTCCATGGAGGAGGAGATGCAGAAAAAAAATTATTATATAAATAAATTTTATATAAATAACAGATAACGTTTTTATAAAAAGAGATTATTTCAATGGGCCACAATGCCAGCAGCGTTTAGCACAATTAAATACCGATAAACCGGGTCAGAGCTTCTTTAGCTAGCATTTTAACATCATTTATTTAACCGTAATTGCTTCTAATCCGTTTCCTAAAGACTAATGAACATCATTTTAACTTAAATTTAGCATTATCGGATCATAAAAATAACTTGTTTTCTCTTTCTCCGCCTAACTGTGACATTAAGCGGTGCAGCAGCCTCCTAGCAAAGGCTAGCAGCTATCTAGCAGTTAGCAGCTAACAGTAGCAGCCTACTTAGCCTCGGCTGGGAGATGTAATTCCTCGTCACAGCTTGGGTGTGTGTCCTCGCAGCAGCTCCGATGCTGTTAACGTCCATCGCTCGGTTTGCCACCAGCGTTGCCATTTTCTATTTTAAGGAAACTAAAGACGGACCAGGCTGCCGTGGTGCTCCACTGGCGTTAATGCAGTAAATGACAACAGAAGGTAGGTCATATGACGGTGACTAACCGGAAGTTCTCTGCTAAGTCTGCGCATGCGCAAACAGCGCAACAACTTCATTTTAAAACGACCCTCACAACTACCCCATTTATCTATTAATTATGGAACAGGGTCAGGGCCACTGAAAAAATAGTAAAAAGTTAACATGTTTTAAAAATATATTTCCATTTAATATGGGGAAAAAGTCAGAATTCTGACTTTAATCTCAGAATTCTGACAGCTATCAAACATGTTAGCATCAAGCCATAGCCATGTCTGTTTTAGAGACACCTTCAGCTCTTCCATTAATGAAAAAGCATTATCAGGGACCCCTCAGACATATAAAAAGTCACCTAATTCCATCAATGTGTTAATGGCCCTCCAAAACAACTCCCATCTTTGTCAGGGAAGCTGAGTGCTTCACATCTCTTCCTTCATTAAGGTCCAACATTCTGAGATTAAAGTCAGAATTTTAAGATTAAAGTCGGAATTCAGACTTTTTCCCATATTAAACTGAAATAAAATGTTAAAATCAGTTAACTTTTTCTTTTTTTGTTTTCAGTTGATCCAATCACTGACCATAAATTCAATAACCACACAATTTGGAACTGTCTAAACGAAACTTTATTCCATGGGAAAAATAAACAAAATAACATTCTTTGCAAATTTGAGAAAAAATCAATTGAAATACTGAAAACTCTTTATCTAAAACTCCTCACACAACCAAAAGCTAAAGAAACTCACTTTAAAATTTTAAATGCTATTTACCCCTCAAAAGAACTACTAAGACAACCCAGTCTCATGGGAAAATGTACCCCCACTACGTTGGTCCACACTGCAAAACGTAGTGGAGGTACATTAATGGCCATTTTTTTGTGGTACTGTTACATTTCTTCTGCCTATACGCTTTCTATTGTTTTACGTCCTAGTCACGTGACTTTCAAGATTCCAGCTGAGAGAAGAAAAAAATATATATAGATGGCCGACATTCGCTCATTTTTTTGTGGAAAGATTAATAACTTGAGTTTGTTTTTGCATTAAAATGAGTTTTGATTACATTTCTAGTGAGAAATGTATAGTTTGTTGCCAGAATATTTACTCAGGGAATGTACATATTCACTTGCTTGTTCGTTTCTTGCAAAGATTTTTCAAGATAATGTGAAACTGTAACATTTTGGTATAAACATGGCTGAGATTTCTCTAACTTTTAGTGGGAAAATCAATAATTTCAATCAGTTTCTGCATTTAAATGGGTTTTGATTACATTTATAGCGAGAAGTGTAGGGTTTATTTACATAATATTTACTTCGTGAACATACATAATCACCCGCTTGCTAGTTTTTGCTACGGTTTTTCGGATCTCGTCAGGATTATGTGAAATTGCAACGTTTTGGCTGCTACCCATCCCCTAGCATTTAGCTGCCGCCCCGATTCAACATTGAATTCTTTGTGATTTAACTCCATCTGACGGATCAAACCCTCGCCACTGCGTGCGTTGCATCTGAGGTTGATTTTCAGATCAATGCATTACGTCGTGGCATACGGGAGAAACTAATTAAACTAGTTAAAAAAAGGATCATGGGTTAAGATCGGATGTGTTTTAATTGGAAATCTACCGGATCCTTTGTGCATTTAACTTCCTGTTTGGTGCGATCTCATTGATGGGTTTTGACCAGATTTTGACCAAAGAGGAACTAAAAAAAAAACAAAAAACAAAACAATTTAAATACACAACCAGCATATCTGGAATCAATGACAGAGAGCATACATAATCACCCGCTTGCTAGTTTTTGCTACGGTTTTTCGGATCTCGTCAGGATTATGTGAAATTTCACATTATCTTGAAAAATCTTTGCAAGAAACGAACAAGCAAGTGAATATGTACATTCCCTGAGTAAATATTCTGGCAACAAACTATACATTTCTCACTAGAAATGTAATCAAAACTCATTTTAATGCAAAAACAAACTCAAGTCATTAATCTTTCCACAAAAAAATGAGCGAATGTCGGCCATCTATATATATTTTTTTTCTTCTCCCAGCTGGAATCTTGAAAGTCACGTGACTAGGACGTAAAACAATAGAAAGCGTATAGGCAGAAGAAACGTAACAGTACCACAAAAAAATGGCCATTAATGTACCTCCACTACATTTTGCAGTGTGGACCAACGTAGTGGGGGTACATTTTCCCATGAGACTGGGTTGACTAAGAATTGGTTTTAATAGTGATGTTTCTAAAGTGATGTAGAAACGATAGACCAGGGAAAACCAATTAAAAATCAGCAGCGTCCGAATAAAGAAAATCATCAACCAGTAAAGGTCTGGAGACATTTTTAGTTTTAATCTGTTACTTTATTTAACACTAAAATAAAATTAGGTTTTTATGCATCCATAGTATACATTGACTTTTAAAATAAAATAAAAAAGATAGAACATTCCTCAATTTTAAAATTTAAAGCATTTGTAAGTTTGGTAAATAGAAAATTTCCTGATTTAAATATTTAATAAAACACCTGAACTGACCGTTTGTTTTTCTTTTTTCTGTCTTATGCTGCCCTGCAAGGTTTTAAACCTGGGTTTGAGTGGAGACTAAGCCATTCTAAAGCACATATCAAGGAGCTCATTTTGAGCCTGCGGATCCATATTTATTTTTGATTCTGTTCATGGTGGAGAATCCTGCTTCACAGCAGCAGGTTGAGCCAAACATCCTCTAAATGTTCAGGGTCATCTTTGAGCACCATTTCACTTTTCTTTCACCAGTTCACCACAGTTCTTCCAGCAGTCCACACTTTCTCTGCTCTCTTTTTCTCATCATCTTCTCCTTCTTTCCCATCGCCCGGCTTGCCACAGGTTTGCCTGCTGTGTCTAAAAGTAGCAGCAGCAACAACTCAGACTGACAGCAGCTCATTGGATCATTTGGATCACATGCAACCTGGAGCCGGACGCTCTGTAGGGCTTTACCATATTAACAGGAGAAGCAGCGCAAGTGAATTTAGACAATGACATCAGACAACATGCGGTAATTTATAAATGTCTTAAATCAGGTTGGGTCCGGATCCGGACCGTGGTCTGCTAATCCATAAACTCTGCCATAGACCTTCTATAAATGCAATCAAACCAAAACATTTTGGAATGGCTTAGAAAGATGGATCAAATTAAGAATTGCACTTCCTGAATCTATCTCTAAAGAATTTGGAATGCTATTGAAAAACAAAACAATAGAATTCTGTGGTAACCTTATTTTATGTGTAGTAAAATCCTTTTCAAGAAAGAGTGTTGATATCATCCCCAGTCTTTAATTTTTTTTTATTTATTTCTGAATTCAAGTTATATTTGAAATCTCTTTAATGTATCGAATGATATGAATACCTGACTGAAATACTAATGGGATTGCTCTCCGATGTACATCAGTCCTAACATCCCATTAGGACGGAGGATGGAGGTCCGTTAGGTTCTGATGTAGGTATGGGGGTCTGTTCGGTTCTGATGTAGTTATGGAGGTTTGTTTGGTTCTAATGTAGGGATGGAGGTCCATTTGGTTCTGATGGGGGGATAGAGGTCCATTTGGTTCTGATGGGGGGATGGAGGTCCGTTATGTTCTGACGGGGGGATGGAGGTCCGTTATGTTCTAATAGGGGGATGGAGGTCCGTTATGTTCTGACGGGGGGGGATGGAGGTCTGTTATGTTCTGATGGGGGGATGGAGGTCCGTTTGGTTCTAATAGGGGGATGGAGGTCCGTTATGTTCTGACGGGGGGGGATGGAGGTCTGTTATGTTCTAATAGGGGGATGGAGGTCCGTTTGGTTCTAATAGGGGGATGGAGGTCCGTTATGTTCTGACGGGGGGGGATGGAGGTCTGTTATGTTCTAATAGGGGGATAGAGGTCCATTTGGTTCTGATGGGGGGATGGAGGTCCGTTATGTTCTGACGGGGGGATGGAGGTCCGTTATGTTCTAATAGGGGGATGGAGGTCCGTTATGTTCTGACGGGGGGGGATGGAGGTCTGTTATGTTCTGATGGGGGGATGGAGGTCCGTTTGGTTCTAATAGGGGGATGGAGGTCCGTTATGTTCTGACGGGGGGGGGATGGAGGTCTGTTATGTTCTAATAGGGGGATGGAGGTCCGTTTGGTTCTAATAGGGGGATGGAGGTCCGTTATGTTCTGACGGGGGGGGATGGAGGTCTGTTATGTTCTGACGGGGGGGGATGGAGGTCTGTTATGTTCTAATAGGGGGATGGAGGTCCGTTATGTTCTGACGGGGGGGGATGGAGGTCTGTTATGTTCTGATGGGGGGATGGAGGTCCGTTATGTTCTAATAGGGGGATGGAGGTCCGTTATGTTCTGACGGGGGGGGATGGAGGTCTGTTATGTTCTAATAGGGGGATGGAGGTCCGTTATGTTCTGACGGGGGGGGATGGAGGTCCGTTATGTTCTGATGGGGGGATGGAGGTCCGTTATGTTCTGACGGGGGGGGATGGAGGTCTGTTATGTTCTGATGGGGGGATGGAGGTCCGTTATGTTCTAATAGGGGGATGGAGGTCTGTTATGTTCTGATGGGGGGGGATGGAGGTCTGTTATGTTCTGATGGGGGGATGGAGGTCTGTTATGTTCTGATGGGGGGATGGAGGTCCGTTATGTTCTGACGGGGGGGGATGGAGGTCTGTTATGTTCTGATGGGGGGATGGAGGTCTGTTATGTTCTGATGGGGGGATGGAGGTCCGTTATGTTCTAATAGGGGGATGGAGGTCTGTTATGTTCTGATGGGGGGATGGAGGTCCGTTATGTTCTGACGGGGGGGGATGGAGGTCCGTTATGTTCTGACGGGGGGGGATGGAGGTCCGTTATGTTCTAATAGGGGGATGGAGGTCTGTTATGTTCTGATGGGGGGATGGAGGTCCGTTATGTTCTGACGGGGGGGGATGGAGG